AGATTAACTTTTTTAAATTCAATAATACATAAGTGAAATAATTGGTTACTGATTAAAAAAGATATGGGAGAAAATTATATTAAATATTCTAATTGATTATCATATTATTAGATTTAAAAAATAAATCTAATTTTTAAAATAGAATAACAATGCCCAATCTCATGATGTTCAACGGTAGCAATTATGGTAGAGCATACATATGTCTGTCGTTGCTTGAAACCCATTGCTTGCATGTTTGGATGATTAGTTCTGAGCAGATTAGGCAAGATAAAGCAGATTAGGCAAGATAAAGATGGGCTTATAAAATTTAAGTATTTCGTATGTCAAAGAAAATAAAATTCTAAATTTTGTTTAATTTTTCTTTTCGTACACCTATGAATTTCTAGGCACAATTGAAAATTGTATGGTAAAGGAACGGTACCCAAGAGACTTGTATCTGTATATGAATTTAGACTTTGTTAACCACTGTGATTGTAACATTCCACCACACTCCGCAATCACATGATAGTGGGCAATCACATGATAGTAGAGTAATAGCAGTGATAGTGGTTGTTTGGTGGTAGTGGTGGTAATTGAATAATTATTGTGTATGTGATGGAGTGACAATATATAGTAGCAACGCAAGGGTGAAGGTAGAGGGGTGGTAGTCAGTGGCGGAGGGAGCATGGGTTTAGAAGGGATATGTCCCTCAACTTTCTAAAATTTATGTTTTTGTATAGATTAATAAATTATTTCTCACTTTGTTCTTTTTAAATTTGAATATATACTCGTATTTTTTTCTTTATTTTTTAAATAGTTCTATAATTTCTATTATTCAAATGTGTATTTTATGACAAAATAACTTTTATAATATTATAAAGTCTACCATTAAATGTTTGTTTTCTATTCTTTTTTATAATGTTTGTTAATTTATTCTTATTGGTATTTTTTTTTTCCCTTCTTCTGGATTGTATATATGTACAAATATGTAAAACATTACATGTTCTTTGATGAAATTTCTATTTCTTAATAAAATGCTTGCTTTTTTTTTTTTTTTCTAAAGCTGATCATCACAATCTAAGTCCATGTCTTGGTTAAAAGTGGGAGTTGAATTTGTTAGAGTTGAAGTAAGGTAGGGTGAGAACACTATTGTAGACATAATATTTTATTATTGCTACCTTTGAACTAAAATCCTATCTCCGCCACTGATGGTAGTAATGGTGGTGGTGGCGGCGGTGGCAATAGTGATTGTAGTTGTATGGTGGTGGTGGTGGTGGTCAAAATACTATGAGTTCAGACTGAACTATTCAAAAATTATTCAGAATTATCATCTAGTGGTTTAGATTTATTCTATACATGGATCTCACACTCTACAAATTTAATCTCAACCACACATAATCATTCTAGATAAATTCAAGGACGTAAGTCTAAGTTCCCAGACTTATTTGTGGATGATACAATAGTGGTGGCAGTGACAGTATTAGTGGTTGTATTGGTGGTGATATGGTGGGGTAATTGTAGCGATAATAGTGGTGGTGATGTTGGTGAATGATGATGATACAACTCAACGACGATATAATCATAAATTAATATATTAAAAATTTAGCATTCAATATTTATGATAAGTAAGAAGTTTGTGACTTAAAATTTTAGTCTATTTTTAGATGTTTAAAATTGTAATAATATCTTAGCCTAATGGGTTTAAGTTACGGAACAATTATTTTGTGTACCATACCAAAAGTTAAGTGTGCGTACCCAATCTTTCTATTTCCAAACACACACTAATGTGTAATAATTTATTTATTTTGATTTTTTTTTTTCAAATTGTAATTATCAAACTAATTTAATTTATTTTTACTGAATGCGTTTCAATTTTAATTGTTGAGTTGAATTATCATATATCACCTAAGTTTTGAGTATGGTTGGTATCAACTCCAATAACTTTTACAAATCAATAAAGGGAACCACTTGCCTCCAGTCTGAGATCGAATTGAACGGTACTGTTCGACTCGTGGGGGATTATCACGGGTTCCATTTTGATAATCTGAACCGTTCAATGTGTAGACTTTGTCGAGTACTATATGCTCAAAAAAATCACATTAATCGGATATCGATAACTATATGATCAAATCAGTTTTGTATAAATAAAAAAATAGATGGTGAATAAATTAACGATTGATAGAAAACTGATCAAATGACATAGTTATCGATATCCGATCAACGTAATTTTTTATAGACATATAATACTCGACGAGTACTACACATTGAACGGTTCGAATTATCTAAACGGGACACGTGGTGAGCCTCCACATGCCCACCAGTATCGTCCAGTCTGATCTCAGACTAGAGGCAAGCTGCTCCCATTAATAAAATCTCATATTTCGGAGGCAAGTTGCTCCCATTAATAAAATCTCATATTTAACCATTAAAAAAAATCTAAATTTAATTTTGACTAAAAATTTTACCCAATATTAAAAGAGGAAAATACAAATCAGTGTATATTTAAAAAAAGTATAAATAAATAATAAAGCTTATATATAATAATAATTAAAGCTATAAATTTTTTCATGAATTAGTAATAATTTTGTGATAGTACCATTGGAAAGTAATTTTCCCATATTAAAAGACCCAGTGGGTATTATGAGTATGTGGATAAATTTGAGTTTTTAATTTGTAAAAACTATTGACATAACACTTTCTAGGATAAATTATAAATATATCATCTGAAATTTGTTTAAAATACGAATTATTTTCTGTAGTTCTAAAAATTACATCCACCCCTGAAGTTTTTAATTTCATAATAAATGGCTAATTTTATCATAAATCATCAAGTCAATTAATAGTTTTTAATAATATGAGAAATATGTTTTAATTAATAATTCAGACAATTTTATTGTTGTATAGAAAAGCAGTCAAGAATTTTATTTTTCTAGTTAATTCTATTAAACAAAAAATTTTACATGGGTGTATTTATAATTTTTTAAACCATAAGGAACAATCCGTATTTTAAGTATATCTCAAGCGGTATATTTGTAATTTACCTCACATTTTTTTCTTCTTCTAATATTGGAGAATGAATTCTTTGTTTGAGTCCGAACCAGAGAGATACATATCTTTATCATTCATATTTAAAAAATAATAACTAGTATTCTAAAAGCATTAATTAGCAAATTTAAATTGGTTTAATATATTTTTTAATATAAAATCATATATTATAACGAATATACAGTTATTTTAAATTTTATTAATTAATATTCTTAGCACAATATGCAATTATTTTATTTGTAGGTGAATTTTTTTTTTCTTGAATTTATTTAAAGTATTTATTTTCTTTTTCTTTTTACGTCCTCATTAGGAGATTAATTGTAAGTATGTGAAAAATTACATCAAATTAAAAAATATAAAATAATATATATATGAGAATATATACAAGTATATACTGTATAAGAATTACATCAAACTAAAAAATATAAAAGGGTATTTACATGTAGGTCATAATAAGTGGACTTATTGTCTAATAGGTCTTATGAAAAAAATGTCATAAAAAATTCACTAATTGTAAATTTTTGCCACAATTTATAAAAATCATGACAAAAAAAGTCACTAATTGTCAATTTTTAGTGACGTATGTAAAAAATTGTTACAAAAAAATTATTTTTAACGATAATTTTACCAAGACTTATTTTCAAGAGGATTTGATGGGAATTAAATCCAACTACTAGGACCTATTAATAATTTATTCAAATATTTATAAAAGAATACACATATAAATATATATATATATATATATGAGAATGATAAATTATTATTTTGGAGATTTTTTTTTTAGGCCGTTACTGCCGAGCAAGGATCCTCTAGAGTTTTTTTTTTCTAAAATTTCCTAGAGTGGTACATTGTGTGGTTGAGATTTAATGATAAGTCACACCAATTTTTCAGCATTAAATCTCAACCACATAATACACCACTTTAGGAAATTTTAGAAAAAAAACACTCTAGAGGATCCTTGGTGGTTACTGCCAAACAATTGGAAAAATTGCCAGTGCTGAAAAAATGACCAAAAAAATAGCCAGCTGTTGGTGATGATAGTGATATAGACATATAGGCAAATTATGTAGATATATAGATAGACGTACTATAATTTTTTAAAGAGTAATGATTCATCCCCCTTTTCCCTCCACCCCTTTTGACCCCCTCTCTCTCTCATTGGTTACCTTTTCTTTTTCTTTTTCTTTTTTTTCCTGCTCCTCCAATCACCCCCTGCCACATGGCAAAAGGGGGTGAGGGGGTGACCCCCAAAAGGGGGTCCCAAGCATTATTCTTTTTTAAATTATTATTATCCTTTTAGCTGCAAAAGAATTGAGTCTGCACTATTGCTCCGAAAGTTGTTTAGGCCTCGTTTGACAATCAAATTTTTTAGTTAAAAAGTTAAAAAATTATTAAATTAGTTAAAAAGCTAACAACCTATATCAAAAAGTTAAAAATTCTTTTTTTTCTATACTTTTTGCACATCTTTTCGTAAAAATTCAAAAAGTCATTCCAAACATACTAGTTTTTTTAACTCATATTTTATCCAAATAGCCAAAAAGTTACTAAATTAACGTGTTTGCAAACGAGGCCTTAGTTTCAAAAAATGGAGTCAACTTTTCAGAAAATTAAATTTTTTATTTTTCTTATTTTCTAAAATATTTTACATAATTTTTTTTATTTTATAGATATACCTAATTTAAATACGTTTAAAAAGTATACTATTTGTGGGAAAAAAAACTTTAAAAAAATTACCAAATACAAAATTCAATATATTTTCATATTTTATTGTATTCAATAAATTTTTTAAAGATTTTTGTACACATTTTTTACTTTTTAAATATATTAAAATTCAGTGAACTAGAAACAAAAAAATAAAAAAAACTGCTTTTAAAACTCAAAACTAAACCGGAATAATTTTTTTTGTCTCAATCAACCACGAATAATTTATCGTATTTGAATGTGAAATAAAATCCGCCAACTCAACACCCTTTTGAGTCCGTCAAAGACAGGTCTATATAAAGACCATTGTTAGTTGTATTCAAGGCACAGCGCTGGTGCTAACGAGTCAATAGTCTCATATCCCCACTCTCTGTAAGTATTTTCTTGTAACATATTTTTTTACATATTAATACTCTCTCCGTCCAAAGTAATGGTCCTTTTTGAGGAATTTAATTTTTTTTAGTAGTACAATTATTGCATTTGAAAAAAGTTAATTTTTCAAAATTATCCTTTTAATAGTATATTTTTTGGGAATATCAATGTCATTATTGTACTTTTTATATTGTTTATTAATTTAAAAGAATGACAAAATAGAAAATTTATATTATTTTTGTACTTGATTTTTGAAGAGGGACTAATATTTTAGGACGGAGGGAATAATAATGTTGTTTTGTGTTTATATTATATTATAGCATTATCCTTTGATAGTACATTTTTTGGAGAATATCAATGTCATAATTGTACTTTTTATATTGTTTATGAATTTAAAAGAAGGGCAAAATAATAAATTTATATTATTTTTGTATTTGATTTTTGAAGAGGGACTAATATTTTGGGACGGAGGGAGTAATAATGTTGTTTTGTGTTTATATTATATTATAGCATTATTAGCAATTGATCTGTCCAATACATGATTTTTGTTTTTGCCAAAAAAAATATTTTATATTACGATACATGTGTTATAAAAGAATAATTTTAATTTAATTTAAAATGAAAGTATTATTGTAATTATTTATTTTGATAATATTAACGTTATCATTCAATAAAAGTCTTATTGGAATACTTATATATAATAATTTTAATTAAATTATTTGTATATTTTGATAATTTTAGTCCTATCGTGCTATAAAAGTATAATTATTATATAATGATTATATATGATATATATTGAATTATAAAATAGTAAAATAAACACTCATTTTGATACTCCCTCCGTCCCATAATATTAGTCCCTTATTCCATTTTTTATTGTCCCAAAATATTAGTCCCTCTTCAAAAATCAAGTACAAAAATAATATAAATTTCCCATTTTGCCCTTCTTTTAAATTCATAAATAATATAAAAAGTACAATTATGACATTGATATTCTCAAAAAAGTGTACTATCAAAGGGTAATTTTGGAAAACCAACTTTTTAAAAGTACAATAATTGTACTACCAAAAAAAGTTGGATTCCCCAAAAGGGACCATTATTTTGGGACGGAGGGAGTATTAGATTAGAAGGCATTGAAATAACAAATAATGAAATAATTCATATTTTGACATTTGATGCTCATTTTAAAAGTTTTGCTTTGTTTATTACCTTATCACTAATCTATTTATAGTCAAGCAAATCTTTCACCTGGCTAACACACAGAAAAGCACCAATCGAGCCTCTATTTTTGTTTTGATGAAAATCTCAATGCTTGCGTACGAGAAACTTTAATTAATTAATTTTTTTTTTGACTATTTATGGCTTCGCTGTTAATCAAAACTAGACTCAATATGAAGCTCTATGATCAATACTACGTGAACTTTAAATATATATATATAGATATATATATTTTTTTTGATCAGCAAAGAAAATCTTTATTGATGAACGTATGCACAAGACGATACAAATATATACTATGAAGGAAATGGACAGAAATTAATTTCTCTTACAATTCACTTTTTGAATCTCTTCAAAAATGGAGAGATTAAGAGAGAAATGAAATAGAATGATTAATAATTTTATATAATATCAAAATTGTCCACTTAGCTACTAAAGAAATAAAAACGTTTTTGCAATATTACATATGTAAGAGTTTCTTTTCTTTTTATAAAATCTATCCAAGCAAGATTAGAGGGCAATCACTATATATATATATATATATATTATTTCTTTCTAGCCCAACCAAATAAGAAGAGAAATTGTAATTTTTTTTTTCTTTCTTAACTTTATCTTCTTTTTTTTTCACTTCTAGATATAAGGATCTTATCTTATTATAATACTGATCAAATTTGTGACAAAGGAAAACTGCATCTCTTGTTATGTCTAGGCAATCACTTTGTGAAGTGGATCTGAATTTTTTTTTTTTTGTATACTTAGTTTCATATGCATGTTTTGCTTGTATATATGATTGTTGATTCCCTCCCCCCTAGATGGAACTAAATATTGAATATGTTACTTCTTAGTATTTTTATTAAAATCAACAAACAACCAACGTGTGTTTGTAGGAATCTATAGCTTGTAGTGACAATGGCGTACAAGGTGTTTGGCAATCCCATCACAGAGGAAACTTTGAAGGGAATGCCAGAATACGCGAACAAGTCAATAATAACACACGTCGACAAAGCACATGTGGCTTTCAATATGAAAAGCACTGTTGAAGCTCAAGTTCGCGAATATATGGAGAACTTGCAAAAGATATTGCCTGGTGATAGAGTCCACACATTTTGCAAGATTTACAATGCTACTGGGGCCACTGTAACATTTTATACCAAACGTGATTATGCTGGGAAATTAGCTGCCGGAAGTGTATACCCAGTAAAAATAAAAAATGGCCAGTGCGGTGTGTTTGTGCACGAGGGAACCAAAGAAATATGTACTGAAAAGTGTACTGGAGAGTGTACTGGATCGTGTGGAGCTGTTGTGTATTCGGGGAGGAACAAAGATAAGGAAGTTTGTGACTGGATGATGTCTTGGTCCAACAGAATCTGTGATCCGTACAATAAGGTATGTATCTTAGAGCATCTCCAATGCACTAGGCATATAATACTTGTTAGTTAAAATGTCTAGTGTGATTCACTTTTTTCAATTCCAATGCACTAGGCATATGATTAGGCATTTTGGCTCAACTCATATTCACTAGCTACATGTAGCTAGCCTTCAACGCTAGGCAAAATGTATTCAATCATTAGGATCATTTCCCTCCATCTTTGTTGTTGATTAAACAAAAAAAAAAAAAAAAAATAAAATTTAAGAAAAAAAGTAAAAAAAAATTACCCATAAAAAAAAAAAAAAAAAAAAAAAAAAAAATTGTGCAACTCTGACACATAGGTAGGGGTGTAAAAATGGTCTGCCTGCCCGAAGCCTGCCTAGGTCCGACTCAGCCCGACCCCCGAGCTAGGGCCTGGGCCATGCTTTTTTTGGCTTAGCCGAGCTTGAGGCTTGGCCCATTGACCCAATCAAAACCCAATATGAGGCCTCACCCATCTGACAGCCAACATCATTTTCAAGCTATTTTGGTGAAAAAAAATCTTAAAAAATTAAAAAAATGTCAGGTTCGATCCTTTGGCTTGAAGCTCGATTACTCTCGGCTTGGGATTGGGATTGGGCTTGGGCTTGATTTTTTGGGCACTGAGCCGGCCCAGCCCAATTTGTGTACATGTTAGGCTGAATTTACACCCCTACACATAGGAAGAGTTGCACCAAACACATGAATGAATTTGCACCATACACGCAAGAGAGTTACACCATCATGAAAATGTAAAGTTTCTTGTCATTACTCCATTGAAATGCAATTTTCCCCTCGTTTTTATTTTTTATTTTTTGTACTTTTTAAATTTTTTTAGAATTTTTTTTAAATATATATTTTTTAGATTCATCTACACAAGACGAATTGGAAAATAAAAACTTTGACATAAATTTTTTTTTTAAATCAAAAAAAAGAAAAGAAAAAAGAGGCAGTCTTTTTTTTTTTATGACATCCCAAACACCCGTGTTTGTTATCCCTACGTATTGTATTATTGTACAACTACTACTTTCTCTGTTCTAAAATATTAATCCATTATTTTATTTTGTTAGTATCTCAAAATATTAGTTCCTTTTCAAAAATCAAGAACTAAAATAATATGAATTTTTTATTTTGTCCTTCTTTTAAATTCATGACAATTAATGTTCTCAAAAAAATTTGTACTATTTTAATTTTAAATCAAAGGGTAATTTTGAAAATTTAACAATTTTGAAATGCAATAATTGTACTACAAAAAAATTAAATTCTCTAAAAGGGATCAATATTTTGGGACGGAAAGAGTAATTAGCGTATTTGGAAAGTAATATTATAATCTTAGAGAAAATTTAAAAAAAAAAAAAAACATGACATGAATGATTTTGTAATAAAAACCATATTCATGAATGTTTTGTTTAAAGAGAATTGTCCACAATATTAAGCACATTTCTTTTTATTTTTATTTTTATTTTTATTTTTATTTTTATTTTCAGACACAAATCAATAGACTCACACCAATAAATACATATGAGACCCAATTGTGTTTAGAAATGAGAAAAAGAGGTAAGAAATAACACTATATGTATTTTTTCAATTTTTATTTGTATATCACTAATTATTTGGAAATTGCATGCACATATCACATACTACAACCCAATCTAAAAATTAAAAAAAAAAAATCACATACTACAACAAATAACAGTTTTAAGGACCAAACTTTTTTTTATTTCCAAAACTAAAAATTTTGTTGGAAAAAATATTTAGGAATCAATTTCTATCGTCACGAGGATAGTTAACTTTTAGTGACAAAATTTTGAAAATGTCACTAATAAATACACTTTTAGGGGACAAAATTATTTGGGCCCAAAAAAATTATTTTTTGAGGCAAATAATTTGGTCTTAAATAATAGTGATTCTTCACTATATTTAATTTCGTCGCCAAAAATACAATAATAACATTTTTGACAACAAAAGTAATTGGTCTCTAAAAAGTGATTTTATCCTTAAGTTTTTGTCTTTAAAATCTTAATTTATTGTAATGTTATATATTGTGTACAACGTTTTAGAAAATATAAAAAATCTATTATACATGCAGGTTTATACTGAGATTGATGAACATGGTCACTATCCGCCAAACCCCGCAGACCCGGTTTGGTTTGAGATCCATGCAAAATTGCACCTGTCTGGTAGCACCAGTAAGTATATATGGAATGGTTGTGAATCATATATGATATCCACTCGTATTAGCAAGTCCATTGTAAGTGTTGATGCATTAATGGTGGTAAAATGAACATGCCATCCTCCGAGTATGAGCCAGTCATGCATGATGATATAGAAATGATGTCTTGTGGAGTATTGATGGTACTATGTAATAAATAAATAATTTACCATCTGAGAAGGTTTGCTTTTAAATTAGTGATAGTAGAATAATGTAATTCTAAATAATCTTATCATCATGACTGTGACTATATGTAATGTTGTATTATGTAAATTCTATCAAGTGTGGAAGGTTTCCCTTTCCCAGCTGATTATAAATAAATAATGTTGTCATTGTGTGTTGAAATGAAATGACTGGTGATTAAATGTACTGGTTTATCGTATGAATCTTTTAATGAACAAAAGGTTTTTTCGTTTGAATTCATTATAAATAAAAATAATATTATTATCGTGTATTGAAATGACTGATGACTAAATAATGTGATGTTTTTTATCCTATGAATTAATCTTTTAAAGGAAGAATATAAGGTTTCTCTTGAATGTCTTTACAGATTAAGCAAAACTGATGTTATATATGCATAATCTCATTGTTTATTTTATTTCTCGACTCTAAGACACAAAGTAATAAGGTTTATATCAACGAGGCTCGTTTAAATTTGAGAAAATGACATAATAAATACAATTATATATAACATTTTTTTTTTAAAGCAAAGATTGAATTGAGCTTGTTTTCTCTAGGGTCCTTCTACCATACACACCCTAAAAAAGGGGTGTACTAATATGCAAAATATAATTTTTTTTTTATAGTGTTGATACCACTTTGCATTATAACTAATAGGTCATAATAGATTATAATTAAATACCACTTGAAACATAATTAAAAATGTTATCGTTATAACCAAAATATATATGAGATTATCATAAATTTAAATAAGTTATAGACTGGACCTCATTTTTATTTTATTTTTTTGATCAGCAAAGAAAAATTTCATTTAACAGCATGAAATTAAAAATACAGGAAGATGAGATGCATCAAGAGAGATTCGGAAGTATAAAAATATCCCTACTACTGCTACTCGCATCCATACAACCAACCCCTAAGCCTCTCAAATTTTTAAATAAAAAAGTTAAGAAGAACTTAACTAGAAAAATAAAAAACATGAATCCCCACATAATAACCCACAAAGACACTCAAAACAAACTAAAAAACTAAACAGGACCCACGGCACAGCTGCAAAACAAACTAAAATACAAGAACTAAACTAAAGACACCCATGCAGCCCGAAAGCATCCACGCCTCTGCCAAGACCACGTCACTGCTGCTACAAACTCTCCATGCCTCACGCCTGCACCTGATTTTTATGCCGTACTAATATATGGAGTTAAAAAAAAAATGTGGGAGTTCATCAAATTTTGTTAAAATTTGTAGTTTATGGCTTTGCTGGCCTATCTTCGGGGCCAACCTTAAGTGAAATGGACTCCATATAAAGCCATTGACTCCGTTACTTCAATTAATAGAAGAAATTTTATTCACTTAGTTGTTGAGTGATAAAAAAATATATATTAATAAATAAATAAAATAAAATTTGGACTTACAACCAAGGACAAAATTAGGGGAAAACTATGAGACAGTAGCGAAGGACGGGAGGATCGGTGGGGTCACGTGCCCCTCTAGATTTTGAAATTTTTTTTTATAGTAAATATAAAGAATATATTTTAAATAAAAAACACTACTACAAAAACAGATAAAAATCACACTTTTTTTGTGTGATGTTTGTTATTTAATCACACCTTTTTAGTTTTATTAAAGTGTGATCTTTGAGAGTGTGATTAAAAAGGGTTATTTTTAATCACACCTTTTAAGTGTGATTAAAAACGTTTAGATCACATCTTTTAAGTGTGATTGATAACATTTAGATTACACCTTTTAAGTGTGATTAAAAACCTTTAGATCACACCTTTTAAGTGTGATTGATAACATTAGATCACACCTTTTAAGTGTGATTGATAACATTAGATCACACCTTTTAAGTGTGATTGATAACATTAGATCACACCTTTTAAGTGTGATTGATAACATTAGATCACACCTTTTAAGTGTGATTGATAACATTAGATCACACCTTTTAAGTGTGATTGATAACATTTAGATCACACCTTTTAAGTGTGATTAAAAACCTTTAGATCACACCTTTTAAGTGTGATTGATAACATTTAGATCACACCTTTTAAGTGTGATTAAAAACCTTTAGATCACACCTTTTAAGTGTGATTGATAACATTTAGATCACACCTTTTAAGTGTGATTAAAAACCTTTAGATCACACCTTTTAAGTGTGATTGATAACATTTAGATCACACCTTTTAAGTGTGATTAAAAACCTTTAGATCACACCTTTTAAGTGTGATTGATAACATTTAGATCACACCTTTTAAGTGTGATTAAAAACCTTTAGATCACACCTTTTAAGTGTGATTGATAACATTTAGATCACACCTTTTAAGTGTGATTAAAAACCTTTAGATCACACCTTTTAAGTGTGATTGATAACATTTAGATCACACCTTTTAAGTGTGATTAAAAACCTTTAGATCACACCTTTTAAGTGTGATTGATAACATTTAGATCACACCTTTTAAGTGTGATTAAAAACCTTTAGATCACACCTTTTAAGTGTGATTGATAACATTTAGATCACACCTTTTAAGTGTGATTAAAAACCTTTAGATCACACCTTTTAAGTGTGATTGATAACATTTAGATCACACCTTTTAAGTGTGATTAAAAACCTTTAGATCACACCTTTTAAGTGTGATTGATAACATTTAGATCACACCTTTTAAGTGTGATTAAAAACCTTTAGATCACACCTTTTAAGTGTGATTGATAACATTTAGATCACACCTTTTAAGTGTGATTAAAAACCTTTAGATCACACCTTTTAAGTGTGATTGATAACATTTAGATCACACCTTTTAAGTGTGATTAAAAACCTTTAGATCACACCTTTTAAGTGTGATTGATAACATTTAGATCACACCTTTTAAGTGTGATTAAAAACCTTTAGATCACACCTTTTAAGTGTGATTGATAACATTTAGATCACACCTTTTAAGTGTGATTAAAAACCTTTAGATCACACCTTTTAAGTGTGATTGATAACATTTAGATCACACCTTTTAAGTGTGATTAAAAACCTTTAGATCACACCTTTTAAGTGTGATTGATAACATTTAGATCACACCTTTTAAGTGTGATTAAAAACCTTTAGATCACACCTTTTAAGTGTGATTGATAACATTTAGATCACACCTTTTAAGTGTGATTAAAAACCTTTAGATCACACCTTTTAAGTGTGATTGATAACATTTAGATCACACCTTTTAAGTGTGATTAAAAACCTTTAGATCACACCTTTTAAGTGTGATTGATAACATTTAGATCACACCTTTTAAGTGTGATTAAAAACCTTTAGATCACACCTTTTAAGTGTGATTGATAACATTTAGATCACACCTTTTAAGTGTGATTAAAAACCTTTAGATCACACCTTTTAAGTGTGATTGATAACATTTAGATCACACCTTTTAAGTGTGATTAAAAACCTTTAGATCACACCTTTTAAGTGTGATTGATAACATTTAGATCACACCTTTTAAGTGTGATTAAAAACCTTTAGATCACACCTTTTAAGTGTGATTGATAACATTTAGATCACACCTTTTAAGTGTGATTAAAAACCTTTAGATCACACCTTTTAAGTGTGATTGATAACATTTAGATCACACCTTTTAAGTGTGATTAAAAACCTTTAGATCACACCTTTTAAGTGTGATTGATAACATTTAGATCACACCTTTTAAGTGTGATTAAAAACCTTTAGATCACACCTTTTAAGTGTGATTGATAACATTTAGATCACACCTTTTAAGTGTGATTAAAAACCTTTAGATCACACCTTTTAAGTGTGATTGATAACATTTAGATCACACCTTTTAAGTGTGATTAAAAACCTTTAGATCACACCTTTTAAGTGTGATTGATAACATTTAGATCACACCTTTTAAGTGTGATTAAAAACCTTTAGATCACACCTTTTAAGTGTGATTGATAACATTTAGATCACACCTTTTAAGTGTGATTAAAAACCTTTAGATCACACCTTTTAAGTGTGATTGATAACATTTAGATCACACCTTTTAAGTGTGATTAAAAACCTTTAGATCACACCTTTTAAGTGTGATTGATAACATTTAGATCACACCTTTTAAGTGTGATTAAAAACCTTTAGATCACACCTTTTAAGTGTGATTGATAACATTTAGATCACACCTTTTAAGTGTGATTAAAAACCTTTAGATCACACCTTTTAAGTGTGATTGATAACATTTAGATCACACCTTTTAAGTGTGATTAAAAACCTTTAGATCACACCTTTTAAGTGTGATTGATAACATTTAGATCACACCTTTTAAGTGTGATTAAAAACCTTTAGATCACACCTTTTAAGTGTGATTGATAACATTTAGATCACACCTTTTAAGTGTGATTAAAAACCTTTAGATCACACCTTTTAAGTGTGATTGATAACATTTAGATCACACCTTTTAAGTGTGATTAAAAACCTTTAGATCACACCTTTTAAGTGTGATTGATAACATTTAGATCACACCTTTTAAGTGTGATTAAAAACCTTTAGATCACACCTTTTAAGTGTGATTGATAACATTTAGATCACACCTTTTAAGTGTGATTAAAAACCTTTAGATCACACCTTTTAAGTGTGATTGATAACATTTAGATCACACCTTTTAAGTGTGATTAAAAACCTTTAGATCACACCTTTTAAGTGTGATTGATAACATTTAGATCACACCTTTTAAGTGTGATTAAAAACCTTTAGATCACACCTTTTAAGTGTGATTGATAACATTTAGATCACACCTTTTAAGTGTGATTAAAAACCTTTAGATCACACCTTTTAAGTGTGATTGATAACATTTAGATCACACCTTTTAAGTGTGATTAAATCACACCAAACCAGATCTAGACAGACAGAGCTGCCCAGGTCATCCGACTTACGAACCGTGCTCGAAGAAAAAGCACGATGCAAGGAGGATGCCAGGGCACGCGATCCACACAGAGTCTCTGCCTTACAACGGTTGGCTCCTCGGACGCATGGAAGCGTCGAGGTTGGAATGCCAATACCGCAACCGGCCTACGAACCAACGGACAAAGCATTGGCAAGACTACAGACTTCGCCGTTTGTTCCGGCAATCGAAAACGCGCCCCTACCATCAGGCTTCCTTCAGCCGAAATTCACTACCTATGAGGGGAAGACGGACCCGTA